TAATGATACTGAGAATCCTATGTGCTGCGAAAAACTGACATCTACTACATCCATCAGATTGGTATGTTTAGTCTCCTATCCCAGCGAGTGAATTGCGCATAAACGCCACAGTCATTCACCATAGTTTTATCACCTTTAAATCGAATAGTGTGCTCTAGTTCTTTCTGTTTTCTTAGGCTAACCTAAGATGCCAGATGAGGTTTAGGAAGCCAGACATTTGTTACCCAATAGAATTCTACTGATGTTGTTTAGTATTTGTATGTTGATCAACGTTTTTTACTCTATCTCTTTAACGACATTCTTTTGGAACTTTTAGAATGCCTCAAATAAGGGGTACGTATCCTTAACTTATTAAAGATAATTAAGAAAGAACCATGTCAGGTTATTCTTATCACGAAATATGAGCCGTTAATGATCATTATTATCATGCGTGTCTCTTAATAAGGTAAGTGTGTGAAAATAAGCATTCATAGGGTGAGAAGTACTAGTGGAATGACTACGGAAAAGGGAAATGAGAAAACACATAGGTCATACGGCACCGGCTTTATATATCACCATCACAAATTACGAATCCATAGTAATCTCGGAAACATTACACGCATCTCATGTTTTAAAGCTGTTGGTTCTAAAGGTACTACAGCCAACACAAATAGACGTGGAGCAGTCGATCGAGAAATTCAGGCCTAACAAGAAAATGTTTCGCTCATGATGATGCCTGGAAGAAATTCATTTGTTTGAACTATGCGGATGATGCACTTAGTATGAGAGGTAGTAGATCTGTAGATCGACAACATTATTCGTAGACTAGAACGGGAAGTGTGATAGCGCCGAAGCCTGGCCACATGATAACTCAAGCTGAGTATATTGCCCCAGTACTTTTACGTGAACATGTTGAATGGTGAACGGAAAGTAGTGAAGGTGAAGAAAGGCTTATACGGCAACATTATTAAAACTGATTTGCTAACAATCGAAAATGTGGTGACACACAGCACCTTACATTTCGTTGTAATAAGTATGTCATTCTGCCAGCATAAGTGTATTTTTCCTTCACAGGTCTCTATAAAGTAGCACACACTGACTGGCACGCCTGAACAAGTCAGGATAAACCACGATGTGACCTTAACACAAGATCACATAGAGTAGTCAGTTACATCATTCCAAGACGGATATGTTACAGCCAGCCTATTATTCAAGCATCGTAAGTTAGTTAGTTAGTTAGTAGCCATTATGGTTCTAACACCTGCAGTTTGACTTAATTTATTCTGTTTCATAAATATGCTTGTTAAATTGATTACATACTTCACGTTTTTTCTTTGCATTTTCCTTAAACTTGACTCAATAATCTTCCAACTTCTGCAAAACATTTCACATTTTTGCAGAGTGTTACGTCTTAGTCTTGCTCTCGTCTGTTATTGGAGCATAGTCGATTGACTTACTCATAACTTACGTCCTTAAGTAAGAAAGAAATTAAGATTAATGTGCAAACGTTTATTCGCAAATTACAAGTAATCGATCCAAAGATATCGTTCTAATATAACATTATTAAAACTACAGAACAGACCTTCAAGTTTTAGGTTTCCAAAGAGAAACTTTTAAATGAGAGGTCAAAAAAAGTGAAACAAAAATATCTGAGGTTACGGATCAACACAAACAAGTTAGGAGGTTGACTAAAACATATACATCAAAAACAATGAAATCATACGTATTCAGTGAAAGGGAGTACTTTATCTGACAAAGTGACTAAAATCTCCTCTTTGACCTGCGCGAACATCGATTAGCGGTAAAACGCCATCATATACTTTCACGTATATCAATGCATATGGACAACTGTGAACATAAATTCGACTAGAAGAATGTTGAAATCCTGGATAGAACGGACACTAAGAACACCAGGTTAGTGAACATCCAGTATAAGACGAGTCACTGAAAAATTGCACGTACAAAATAGGAATGTCAGGAACAGAAAGCGGAACTTACTAAATGGCTCAACGTACGAGCTATCCTTGACGTAATGAGCAGGTGGAATGTAAAAATAAAGTATACGTCATCTGAACAAAAGTGAACGTAAAACTGCAACTACATTCAAGGGACATGTATCCGTTTCTCCTGAAAAAAACATTGACGATTTTCTTGTGAAAAGTGAGTAGCTTATTGCACATTCGATCAGACCATTCAGAGACAAGCCCTATGAAAATAGAGTTCTACAACCAGTTTTGTGATTGGTAGATTGAATTAGAACACAAAGTTATCTAATAATGATATAAAAGAAGCTGAAAACCTCTGACCACCCAAATAAAAATTTCTATTCATTCAACCTGAAGCGGTAAATAAATCATCAAAATAAAGAGCTCTGTATGTTTCCGACATCGGTTGCTGACCACATTAGTCTTAATGGACTCACTTAGCTGAAGGCGCTCGGTCATCCAACCGCACCAGATCACGAGTGGGAACGCCATGCTCAACAACCCCTGCAATCGCTAGCCAGATTAGATCAGACAATCCCCAATATATTGAAAGTCTATCAAATATATCTTCGAACCTTCTCGCTTCTGTCTTTTAATTTCACTTGGTGGGTACGATTCATATTAGGTGTTACTGGTTTGAGCGTTGTCAAACTCCGAATACCTGTGGTATCTTCAAACCCAAGATAAACTGCACATTAATAAGGGGAGATCTAGGTTAAATCAGAAGTTTACCGGTCGACACTGTCAAATGTTTTTTTACAACCAACATGACTGCGGCTTCGTGGTTCACAGTACTAATATAAGGCTCGGAAACATGTATTTTCACGTGTCACACAATCTTTCACCTGTAATAACAATACCAGATGCTTGTCTCGAAACATTTCTTAACCGCGACCAGTATTCATGCCAGTTCTGCCATTATTACTGTGATAACACGAGTCGTCATTTTCGGTTCATAAAATATTTTATATTGAATGTGGTTAGTTCAAGTGTTTGGGTTACATTCAATTGAGTTGTCGATGGGTGCATAACAAGTCCGACTATAACTGATTCATTTCTGGAGCTTTGATGTGTATTCTGTGACAAAAAACAGAAAATGGGTGGATCGATGTCGAGAATAGTTCCTGGTTTATACATTGGCGGAGTTGCTAGCGCTCAATCCAAAAGTCAACTGGAAGAAAATGGCATTACTCATGTCTGTAGCGTTCTCCATTACAATTTCAAGGTAATCTAGTATGCTCATAACTTACCAGTAGTTAGTGTCCCACTAGAAAGCAATTGCTGCTTCGAGCTGATGACGACTCGAAGGAAAATATTGCCAAATATTTTAGGGACGCATCCTTTTTCATTCACGGGGCAAGGGTTTATGATGGTGCCGTGCTAGTCCATTGGTGAGTAAAAAGCCTTTCTGAGCGTATTTTTTCAGTTCTTTGTTATTTATCTGTTAATCTAAGGTTGTTACAGTCATTTTATTTTGTCAGTTTTTTCGAATATTTGGAATTTGTACTAAGCTGGTTCTGTATTCTTTCGAAATTCTCTGTACATTCATTGTAGTCTCACCTTTTTATGTTCCATCTCTACACAGTGAAGCTACTAAAACCATATGTTTTTCAGGCTATCGATTTAGACTTCCAAGTATACTTAGGAGATTCCCTTTCTTTTAAGCGAGACGGTTCTACTTTCGTAAATATGTTAAAAAACCATAACATGACTAAAAACACTGTCGTGTCTTTTCAAATAATCTTGTCAGTTCCGTGACCATTGATTAACCACTATCCTTAAAAGGAGCCGATGGTGGACCTTCTAGGCCTGGTGAATTTTGTCGCCTTCGTATGATATCGTACTGAAGTCCTTTTTGTCGGGTGGATCGCAAGCCATCGGACAGTTATGAACGTCACTAGGGCCATATTCCAATCAGACTATCCTTTGAAGTTCACTGCCTAGCGGTCATGATACCTTTTTCGGTTACTAATTAGTGTCCCGTTAACTGTCAATTGTTTCATGGACACCTGGTGTTTTGCTACCAGTGTCTCAGATGAGTTGGAACAGCCTCCGTTAGTAACCATATGCAGCTGCTAATTCCAACTCGTTACCACACTGTGGCCACCTGATTTCTGTTGGGGATGCAAGATCCTCAGAGCTTACTTGGTAAATGTCTTATTTTTGTAATTTTATTCTGGAAATTTAAATTTCCTGTCTTCGCACCAAAAGCGCCCATTTTCACCTTCATGTCGTATTTCCCACTTGCGAGAACCTCAAATATCATTGATTTGTTGTCTCTTTTAATATGCTGTTTTGTAACGTTTCCCAAGGACATTTATATGCTTTATATATATTTAGTTTACGGCAGCGAAACATGGCCATTAAGAGTATAAGATACTCGTAAGCTACTAGTATTTGACCACAGATGCCTTAGAAATATTGCTGGCGTCTGCTGGGATCACCGGGTAAGTAATAGTGAGGTTAGACACAGGGTATTAGGGAATGATGGCAAATCAGTTGATGAGGTTGTGAATCTTCATCGACTGAGATGGTTGGGCCACGTGTTACGTATGCCTGACTACCGATCACCACAACGCACAATGCTGCTGACTAGTGTTGGTGATGGTTGGAAGAAAGTTAGGGTTGGCCAAACCAAAACGTGACATCAGTCTTTAGAGTCACTAACTTCTAGTCCTAGCAATGTTGATAGATGCAGACTGCCTTGTTGGGGTCAACGCGACTATTGTGACCAATGGTTGGAGACTGTTGGTGACAGCTGAGAATCGATCACAATGGCGTCGGTGTATACACTCTCTGTCTTCCCTTAAACTAAGAGATTAAAATCGCTTCATACCTTTCTTTCTACGAACTAATTCTTTCCTCCTGTACTATATCCTTATATCCAATCTTTCTTTTATATATTACCACCTCTGAATTAACTACTTTTGTGAATCAGGTGTTCATCTTGTTGTGTTAATGAGGTATGGCAACTTGGACCGATGCATATATGTGCCTGGTCGTACGTTGAAGCTGACTGACTGATATATATATATATATATATATATATATATATGCTTGAGTTGTGTTTGTCGTTCTTGCTTCTGGCTGCTTGTGGAATACATTTCCCTCTTGTGCACCTGGACTCCTTTCTCTGGTTAGCGGGGCTGAGACACATCGGTACAGTTGGTTTATTTGGTCATTGTGTCACTGAGTCTTCGTTCCGTTTGCAGATTAAGTGAACTTTTAATCTCTTCAAACATAGCAGTTTCTGAGCTGGGAATCTACAAATATCGTCAAATATATGATTCACCAGGTCAGAGTATTGTTCCTCAAGAGCTTGCAGAAACCCAATGCTCATACACGAAGCACGTCGCAAAGTCACAAGCAACATAGTCCTATATTTTGAAAGTGCCCTACACACACTCAGTCCTTATTAGCACTTTTTCGTGGACTGATAACTTGCCTAGAAACTGGTTCGTTCCTCACTAGTTTTTCACTTCGATAGACACAGTCTCATGTTAGCTGTTGACCAAAGTAGGTCCTTACTCCCTTCTTTCCGTCGAGATTTAGGAGACAATATTTTCCATTGGTTTGTAATCGATTTTATCCAACTCTTCCAGGTGGGGTCTTCGTGTTTACCAGCCTGGTTTAAGCTCCAGGTATCCTCATTTCATCTAACTACTTTCTTTAAAACAGCACCGCATACATAATGGTTAAGAATGGGACTTTCATACCAAGGACTATAAAAGAATGGGTTTATGAGATCATTTCAAGAAGACAAGACTCCACAATCTCGGTCATATCAGGAGTCTCAGACAAAAAGTCTATGGTACTGCTGTATAATAAGCCAAAGAGTGTCACGAAATAAACATCTGACATTCTTTATTGAGGTTAGTATTAGTAATTTTTGTGCTGGAGTTCATCAGATTACGTTATAGGTCGACCTATCAGACAGGTCATGTATTCAACGATCCACTAATTAAATCCACATGATAAAGTATACGTCTAGACTCGTAGTTCATCAACAGAAAGTTTGACTTTTGACTCAATTTATTAGTTTACTGGGAATAGTCAGATATAAAAATTATTAGCACCGCGACTTAGTGTTTGTAACAGTCAGTTTTCAACCCGTAAATGTGTGGTCTCAACTCCAACCACTTAACTTTGGTTTTGACAGCCACACATAATGCTGCTCAAATCTGAGTACTTGATAACTAAGTCAAGTTAAATTTAATTTCTCCGAATTACAAACCAAACCTGTCTAGGTAACTTCTTTACCCTTCACAGGTTTCGATACATACCTTGTGATTGAATAAACAATTATTTATATGTTCCAGTAATCACAATCCATTATTTGCTAAGTAAAATACTACCAGCAAGAAACCAAACAAAAGAGTAAAGATAAGGGCGATGGTATAGTAAATTTCAATCTCTTATTTGATCAAAATTATAATAATTATGTATAATAATTCTCTATCTCTGTTCCCATATTACTTAAAAAGCGCTTGTGGCGTCTCTCGTAGCGTGACAATAACTTTGGCCTATCTGATGACCATAACAAATATGCCTCTACCAAAGCTCGTTAGAGCAGTTGTTGGTGCAAGACCATGCGCTTGTCCGAATAGTGGATTTTTGGTAAGTTGAAATACTCTCACACTTATTTTTTGTTCAATGCTAAAATAGATATTTTTGTATCATTCTGCTCTTTTACTGATTCATCGTCATCCATTATTTAATTAAAACTTCACTACTAACCCTGCCAATTGCATTGGTAGAAATGGTCAGTAACAAGTGAAGCAATAACCTCGAACGCTCCTCATATCTTGTTTCATTTGGCGAAATTCGAAAGCAGGCTTTGATAAACAATACTTCAATACTTTGAGAAAACTAATGATTTTAAGCAAAAACATTGTATATGTTTATAAGCAGAGATAGATGGTGGCTATCAGTGGAATACGGGATGTGCATTTCGTTCTATTTGGGACTCGTCATCTGGATGTACCTGCATCCCAGAGTTGACTTTAATTCTGGGACTCGAACCCACTACTGTTCGCTTCAAATATCATCTCGCTATACATTTAGCTAATGAGTCCAGATAGCCACTGGCTTGTGCGATGCGATTCAGACACACTCAGCTGACGCACAGGATGCAAATATGCCAATGTAAGACTAATCAATTGCAGTCCTAAACAAAAATGGGAAGACTTAAACAACTAATATAAGAATGAATCAGTATGTTTATGTTCACTGTGGTATTGAGTTATTTCTCATTATGAATCCATCTAATGGTTTATGATCCTCTGAAAGAGTTAACAGTTTATTTGGTACCTTCTACTTTGAAAGTCACAAATATTATCCATTGCTTCTTAACTACTGGAGATAAGTTCCATCCAGATAATGAGATGTTAAAAGTATTACATTTGATAGTTATTCGTTGGTTTGTTCACAGTATGCTAAGTATAAAGATCCCCAGGTAAACATCTACGTCCTAAGGAATTACCAAGGTAATCGAGTTATTACAAACATTGACTCTTGTCATGCAATCCGAAAGTAAGTAGTACACTACGCTTCAGATAACTGAACTAGTCACTAAAATCAGTTAGTCAGTCATACGCAACGTAGAGTCTGACACGTTTCCATTAGTTCAAGTTGCCACATCACGTCTACACGGCTGTACTCCAGAGTTGTATAAGTTTTAACAGTATTAGTGGTAGTAAAAAAATTAGGCATAGAGAATATAATTCGCGGTGAAAATATGATTTCGTTGAATAAGAAAATATTTTGTAATAACGGATCTTAGGATCTAAGGAAAGGTAAATAGTAAATTCACCTGTGCAATTGCGAACAATTCTAATCCATATTACCCATTGTCTTTAACTGATAGTTGTTGTAATGATTTCATGCAATTATGTCATGATTCGGTTTAATTACTAAAAGCTTCCTTCCAAACTACTCGTACATCAACTATAATCACGCATTGCCTTAGTTGGTAATTGGACATTCTTACTACAAATTTCTATACGTAATACGGGGAAATAGAAAAATGTTATCTTCTGTTAGTGCGAATTAATAGTAACTAACACTGAAAAATTGTTTTTTATCTGCTTTTACCGATAAATTGCATTTTTTTTAAAAATTAGGTACGTTTTTCATCCTTTGTTTTAAATAATTTGGCGACTTACTAATTTTAAAAAATGTACACATCTTTTAGGAGCAATTGATAGAGTATGGCAAGTCTGGTGCTGCTGCAAAAGTTCGACGTGAACTAATCGCATGTTATGGTGAATGGCCAAAGGAAAAAATGAATGCTGATATTGCTGTACTAACAGAACTGCTACTCAAACCAGAGCATACTACCTGTATTGGCGCAAGTGGTGGTTTCACATTGCCGGATGATATTACAGAATATAATGATGATGATAATGGTAACAACAATCAACAAGGATCTCTTAATAATCCCTTAAATCAACAAAATTCACAAAAAAATAATATGAAACCGACTAGTTATACAATCTATTCAAATAAACCATTACATATACAAAGAATACTTGCAGAGAGTGAAGATAATAATCCAGCATCGTCATCATCATCAGTATAAAATACAATATTAACGGAAAATAAACTAATTTTATAAATAACTACGGTTATTCAAATTTGATATTTGTTATTTATTGTCAATAATCACTTACCACTGATATATGTGATTAAAACTGATGTAAACCGTCTGTAAAACAATTACTTATTCAATCTTACTTTAAGTTTGTTCGCTATTCCTTTATTTTTGTTTTATAGATGTTCAAACATGTACTCTTGTCGTTACTGAATGGTGATGGCCTTGTTGTACACAATTAACACTCTAACCACACCTAATATATAAATGAACTTTTAGTTAGTTTTATTGAACAACCCGTCTCTAGGCTTTCCTTTCTTTTTGGTTTCCCTTGCATTTGATATTCAGTTGTTTTTTTCATAGCCATAATGTAAAAAACAAAAGAATCAATGCTATGATGCACATACTTTCTCTATCGCACTTTTTAAAATCATAATGCCTTTGATATATATCCGTTGATTTTTACAAATATATCTTAATTACTGGTGAATTGAACAATCATTTCTGTAATATTAATGTGAATAATCTCATTTTCTAATGTATTTTCCTTTTTGAAAACTTTCATATAGAAAAGCCCCTTCGGATTTTCATTATCTGAATGTGATAAACCAAGCCCTTTTTAAAATATATCATGTTGTTCCAGTGAGTCGTAACCTGTTTAACAAGCAATCAGATGCCACTTTTCTGATATATATAAAGTATCCCTATTTTAACTTTAAAAATACAACTTGAATGGCGAAAAATTTCTTTTCAATTAGCTCCTTATCATGATGTGTGAACAGTAATATTTAATGTCTCATTATAGTATTCAAGAAATAAATGCACTGATTATTTTTTGTAAGCAATTATGGTTAGTGGCTAGCAGCGGAATCCAGGATGCGCGTTTCGTCCTATTTGGGACTCGTCAGCTGGATGTGTCTGCATCTCAGAGTTTCCATTTTCTAAATGGTTGATAACTGTATTGAAACCTCTGCATGAAAAGCTTGTAAAATATAGTGTTGATGATGTGTTCCAGTTTGTTGATAAAATCAGAAATGCAAATACGTTGGGACTAAAGATGACGTCATTGGATGTAACATCGTTATTCACAAACGTCCCACTCATAGAGACTGTAGAATATATAGGTGAACCGCTGATTGAAAATGAAATCGAAACTACTGTTACTATTAATGTCGTGAAAAAGTTATTACTCAAATGCACAATGAATGTGAATTTCAAGTTCAACGGTGAAATATATAGACGAACAGATGGTGTTGCAATGGGTTCACAACTAGGCCCTATACTAGCTGATATTTTTCTAGCCAAACTAGAAAATGGTCCACTTAAAAAGATTATTCAAAACTTCACATTTTACTGTAGATAGATGGATGACACGTTCATCCTTTGTAAAGATAACACGTCGCCGCAAGAGGTTCTTAGGCGATTTAATGAAGTGCATCCAGCCATTCAGTTTACATCTGAAGATGAGAGTGATGGCTGAATAGCCTTTTTTGGATGTTCTCTTGACTAAGAGAGCGGATGGATCGTTAAAAAGGAAGTTAAACAGAAAAAATACATGGACTGGGCAGTATACGAATTTCCTGAGATTTGTACCTCTACATTACAAACGAAACTTGATCAAAACCCTTAGTTACCGTATACGCACTATACGTCATGCTGATATAGTTGAACAAGAGCTTAACACCTTGCATAATACTCTCAGGGAGAACGGCTACCCTAGAAAGTTTATAATTAAATATATGGTCAAGAAGGCGAAATACAAACAGTGAAGAAGAAATCCCTGTTCATGTGTCTACAATTCAGAGGGGATGCGGCTAGTGAAATATTGACTCAGAGATTACGTAAGATAATACAAAAATCTTTTAACGCCGGAGAACTGCGATTAGTATTTTCTACGCGCCCAATGGTTACACTGAGGCTAAAAGATGAATTACCTAGAATGACCACCTCATTTTGTATTTATCAGTTCGACTGCTCCTGTGAAGCGAGTTATATTGGTCGAAGTTCTAGTAATTTACATTTTCGTGCTCGTGAACACCTTTCAGAGTGGCTAAACAATGGTTTGATAAAGAAAGTGAACTGCTCAATATTGGCCCATTTAATACAAACCGGTTATAGTGCCAGTATAAACCAATCTTTTTCAACTAATTATAAGGTCAGTAATTTTTTGCCAAAACTGGTCAAACGTCTGAAGCAGTAACCATCCTGATGAAGAAACTGGAGCTATGTGTACAGAAGAAATATATTCAACCACTCCTCCTCCCTTGGCCAACATCAAGACCAATTAATCAATCGTAATTCTAACTATTGAATGGTCTAATTTGACTACGACCTTTCGCAGTCAATTGTAATTGTCTATGTTATCTTTATTCATAAATCTTTGTATTATTATTATTATTACTCGTATTATTGGTTTAACATCATTATTAATCTCCCCTATAGAGGATTCACTCACTTCGCATTCATCCCTCCGTATTACGTCTTACTTATTTGATCGAATTGTAATCGCACTATTATTTCTCTCTCACCCAATTTCATCCATATTTATTCTGATCATGGATCTTAAAATTTCACTTCACATATACGCAGATTCAAGTTAACATTCTATAGAGTCATATCAACATTAACAATTTTATTGTATTTTGTTTATCACAATCCTAAATTCACATGCTTTGAACGATATACTTTGCCCTTAACCTGGCCGTTTTTCGGATTATTAATTTGGATATATGAATTGTAGAACCTGAAGAGAATCTATCGAAAAGAATATTCTTCGTTCAAATATTAGTCTTTTAATATGACGGGGATCTTTGAACGATTAAAATATTATTATTATTATTATTAGCTTTATTCAATATTATAATTTTGGTACAATATAGAATTCTCAGCGCAAAGTATTTCAACAAGTTTCCGTTTCTTTCTTCTTGGTCGGTCCTGGCGATAAATATTGAGGAATCGCCAGTTAGATGTTAGCACTTCAGTGAATGAACAACTGAATAATGTACATTCTTTTCGTTGTACATTGCCAGCAACCATATTGTCTCTTATTGAGTTTTCTGTAACTTTGACAACGAAAGGTTGTACACTTTTCAGAAACGCAGCAGAATAGGTTATGCGATTAATAAACATAATGATATATTAAAACAAACAACAATAGATAACTTGTTGAAATATCTAGATGGCAGGAACAGATAGCCCAGATGCTCAGGCAGGCCGCCCTGATAAAATTTTCTAGTTAAGCTGTTTTAAATAATAAGTTACAGTTCAATGTATTTGATAATATAAGATTGAAAATAGAATGCAAAATTTCCTAGATTTTAGTTTCCGTACAAAGTATCAAATGGTTCTGAAACTTGAGTAGAAACATTTCTCTCATCTAAGATTCATTATCACAACTGACAACGTATATAAATTAATATAAGAAGGTAATAAGTCGTAATGATAAATAAGAACAAATACAATCGACATTTGGGAACTTCTGAAACTTATTTAGAATATCCAAGTTGGTAATGATCTAGATTAGTTGTTTACTAATTACTAACAAGAAATTGATTAAAGATGTATTTCCTTATGATTACCAAACGTGTTCTGATTATTGTTGAAAACCAATATACAAGTATAAGTTATTTATTTACCTTATCTAAGTAGTTGAGATTTAAAACTCAATATATCTGACAAACTTCAGTAAATTTCTATGTCGCTAAATAACTTCGCCTTTTATGGTTTCGTCAATAAAATTATATGATTGATAGACAGATAGATAGTACTAAAACTTTTAGAGTGATTTATGGCATACCCTTTTGGGTTTTGATTTAACTAGAGACTATAGAGATTCAATCAATAATTTTAGTTTTAGTGTTTAAAGAAAATTTTCTACACTCATGCATTTTCTTTAACCATAAAAAAACCTAATTGGTAACATTAATGTTTCTTCTTCATGAAATAAAGGCTCAATTCTGAAAAAAAAATCATCTTTCTGTATTAGAAAGCTTCCCCAAGTTGATCAGAGATAATGCAATAAACAAATCAGTGCTTCATGTTAATCAACGCGTTTCTCTATTAAAACATTCATAAACAATTACTAATTTTGTAATCTATTTTAACTGAGTGAAAAATTCTAGAGATCAAACTAAATTCTTTTGATCGTTAGGTAAAACTTTATACCTCTTGATCCAGGAAGCTTTTGATTATGTTACATACGGAATATTAAACATTGAACTTGAACCTTCCATTGGTATTATCTTCTTAATGTCACAAAGATAAACTAACACTTTAAGCCACATAAATATCTATTTATTAGATTGATTGTTGCTATGGTAATAAGCACATAGACAACACTATACGTTCATCGATTGCAAAACATTCTTGTACACTATCCGGCTTACCTGGTCAAAAGTAAATGATAAGATTTTCATAACTTCATTATACAACAGTCAGTCATAAGTAACATAGAAATAGGCACAAATATATATCGACTCAGTTTGATTGACAACACCAGTGAATCGAAAATTAACTAGTTAACTTAGCTCACTTGGTTCCTTTTGAAATATCTTTCAAAACACAACACAAATCTCAACTAAATAAACTAAAGTGTAGCCTAAACATTGACTACATGAATTAGATGCAAACTCTTGAGTTCATGAAAAAGATTTGCAGGTATAGTGTGTTTTTCAATTCTCTAAATTATAGGGTTTGGTTAACTAGTTTTTATTGTTTATCTAGACAACGTCATCAACGCTCCATTTCACGATTCATAAATCAGTTTGTTCTGGTGACCTTGTTTGTAATTGGTTGTACCTGTAATGAACTACATCTACTCATATGATGGCTCTAAATAAAAATCGTACCAATTTTATAGTGGTATGATAATAATTTATTGTATTTATTTTTAGTATAAGCTAATCATATTTTTTTGTAATGTTCAGCATTCGGTAGGTTTTTGTTTAGCCTAAAGGTACTCTGTGTTACTGAGTGAATGTGTAGAGGAGAGTGAGAAATTATATAAAAAAGATAAAAATGAACCGATAACTCAGTGAATACATAGAATACACTTACATTTAGTAATGAAAGCAACCGACAACAATCAGAAATAACATAAGCAAAAGATTAAAACAATCGGATAATCGAAACTAATGGTTGATAGTATAAAATTTCGACTATGTTATAATTTATTTAGTATCACGATAATATATATTCGCATTAACTATGTACGTAATTCCATAACCTAAGGAACTTTGATCCTTGACCAGAGGATTTCATGATTATGTTGGAAGAAACACATTTTATTCATTGAATTAGCCCTTCTTAATTCTCTAATGATTTAATAAGTATGTTTCATATTCGGATTTTCGAGAAAAAGATACATACACACACCTTGCTTTTCTTTAATACTTTTAACATAAAGATCTGTTTATATGCGATATATATACCAACGCTCAAAATGGTACCTCGTTGAATCGGTTACAAACTTCATTAAAAGTAGAACTTTTTTTTCAACATTAAATCACAAGTATAGAAAAGTGATTTTTAGATTTACTAAGATAATAGTAAATATACATAGGAACTGATGAAATAGAAATCCAAATTATATTTATATAAAGAATGTTGGTTAATTAATGAGTGAATTAAAATCACATTATTAGCTCTAGTAAATTCTAAAGATTCTTTTAGAAAAACGAAATTCAATTCACCCTATTCTTATCTTTTAGTTTAGTTGATTGTGTAATGAACAAAAACAC